ATCGTGAAAATCTCTCAGAAAGCCGGATATTGGGGTAAAAGTCTACTACGAAAGCCTGTAAAAAGTTTGGCCTTTTCTTTTTAAATTTATATGTATTCTGAAAGAGGAAACTTCACTGCATCTTCCTATGATAAAAACTCGAATTCGACTACTTTACCGAAAAATGGATTTTCTGAGGGGGGAGGGGGAAGGGCTTAAAGCGCTGTCGTATTTTCCTTTATAACACTCATTAGACTATATTGAGTTCAAATTTTTCGATTGCGAATCAAACTGACAGGATCTAGTATTCAGATCAGAATTTCTTTATTTGTGTTAAAATACGAAATGAAGGATTTAAAAACGAAATTCTGTTGTTTTAGATTGTTTTCGACTGTCATCATGTTTTTTAATCATCCATTTTTTCGACAAGGGTTTCCTGGTGGTCAAGGAATGGGTGGTGGTGGTGGTCCATTTCGTGCTGTTTATCAATGTTATTCAGCTGCATTTTTACCTGATCATGATCGTGGACGTCTTAATGTTGAAAATGGTGGAAAAATTTTACTTCCACAAGCTGTTCTAGAACATTTAATTGAACAAGTAAGAAATATAATAAAAAAAAAACATGTTTATTTTTCTTATTATTTTGGACTTTGTCTTCATATAGAGTAATATTATGTTATTTAAATTAAAAAATAAAAAACTCGATCGTATAACACATTGTGGTGTATTAGAATTTTTACCAAATGATAATGCAATATGCTATTTACCTAATTGGATGATGCATCATTTATTATTACAAGAAGGTGATGAAATAAGTGTTGAATCAGTTACATTACCAACAGCAAAATTTGTACGTTTTCAACCACAATCAAAAGATTTTCTTGATATAACAAATCCAAAAGCTGTTCTAGAAACAGCCTTAAGAAATTTTAATTGTTTAACTAAAGGTGATCTTATTGCTATAAATTATCTTAATCGTAATTATGAATTATGTGTTTTGGAATTAAGACCAGCTGATGCTGTATCAATTATTGAATGTGATATGGAAGTTGATTTTGCACCACCAATTGATTATATTGAACCAAAATATATTCCAACATCATCACAAAATATATCAACAACACCAAAAACAACAAATTCAGTGGCAATGACACCTGGTGATAATCTTACAGGAATACCAAGTAGTTATAAAAATCCATCAACATTTATGCCATTTCATGGACAAGGTAATCGTTTAAATGGTAAAAATAAATCGAAAGATCAAGAAGAACAACAACAACAAAATAATTTACAAATTCAACAAACACGTGGTATACCGAATTATGATTATGAGTATGGCACATTACAATTTTTACGCATACCATTACGTTCAATTAATGATGAAACAACAAATACAATAGAAAAACCTAGTACGAATGTATTTCAACCATTTTCTGGTGAAGGACAAATGCTTAAACAACCTCGAAATCAACGATCGAAATAGACATTTTTTTTTGAGCCTTGAATATTTAACTTATTCTATTCTTGAAAGTAACATGTAAATAAAATGAAAAACAAACATATTTATTTCGTTTCTTGTCGGTTTATTTTTTTGACAAATTTTTAATATGAACGAAGTGGTGATGGTACCTGGCCATGTGTTAAATTAGAAAGAACATGTTGAAGTTCATCATCGGTATTCACTTGAATTGTTCTCGAAGGAGGGAGCGATGATGGTGATGAAAATTGGTAAGATGGAAGATGAACACCAGAAGATGATGAATTATCATGACCACTCCATAAATCTGTTATCTCAATCATGTTTTTCATGTTTCCATCTTGTATTCCATCAGGAAATTGTGGAGAATAGCGAGAAGATGAGTCAAACTTTGAATATTCATCAGGATATGAGCCTAAATGAGGTATGGGCGAGGATGATTTCATTTTGTCCCAGGCATTTGAAACAGAAGCAGATGGAGAAGGTTGATATCGATGTAAATAAGAAGTAGGAGATTGAGGCAGACTGTGCTGACCAATTGTTGAGACTTTCGTTTGAGGCGGTGGTACAACGCGAGTTGCTTCACCAATTATATTAGCGAACTGTGACTTTTTATGGTCTGAGTCAAGTTCAGCTGCATAACGTTGAAGATATGATTGAGGATCAGCTTGAACAACCCCTCCGTTTATAAATTCCTTGTGTATACGTGCTTGTGGTCGTTCGTGTATGATAAGTATATTTGGTTCTTTTTGTCGTCTAAAAATATTCGAAGAAATTAAATTACCTATTGTTTAGAGATAGATTTTTTTAAATACATATTAGTTGCTGGTACTCGTTGATAAAAAATTTGTCGTCGATCAGTTCGTTTATAAGGTAACCAACGTTCAATGATAACATCAGCTGGTTTAGGTGGACATGCTGCAAAACGTTCGACAATCATACGAGGTGGTGGACGAGGTGGTGGTGGTAATATTTTTTCAATTACTGTTGGAGAAAGTCGACGTGGCGCTGGAGGAGGTCTTGTTCGGATTACCTTTGAAAAAAAAGATAGACAATAGTTTTATTTTATTTTTTGTTTGTTTGCCGAATAAACTTTTTTTGTTTTAAATTACTAATGGTGGTGGTGTGATTGCAGGTGGTGGTACTTGTCGAATCTAAAATAATAGAATAAAAAAATTTGAATTAAAATTTATCTAAATCATAGTACTTTAACTGGTGGTTCTGGTGGTGGTGGAGCTGGACAAACTTCACCTAAGAAAATAAATAATATAATTTTCTAAAAATTTGTTTTCGTCTTACGAATAATAATTGGCCCATGTGGTGGTGGTGTAGGTGGTTGTAAATAACGTACAGAAACATTTTGTTGATATGTAATAGTATTATTTGGCACTGTTTTACGAATAATAATCGGTGGTGGTGTTGGTGCTTCATTATCTTTTGTATTTACTAATGAAATTTGTTGATTTTCCATTAAATTTATTTCTGCTTCGTGATTTGTACAATCATTAAGTGTTATATTACTATATTCACTAATACTGCTTGTTTTTATACTTGTTGATGGAAACATAGTTGATGATGATATTTCATTAACTGCTCGATTAAATTCATCCGTCGAAGAAAAAATTATTGGAGGACCATTGATTGTATTTATATTTTGATAATTTTCATTTTCTTGAATAAAATTTTCATCATTATTATTATTATTATTAAAATTTAAATTTGTTTCCATTTCATTTGAAATAGGTAATAATGAATCAAGTAATTCACTATACCATCCTGATGTTGCTGCAAGTGATTCTGGAAGTGCTTGTGCAAGAATCGATTGTGAAAATGCTTGTTTAAGAATTAATTGTGTTGTTGATAATAAATTGTAATCGTCATTTATAGTTTGTTGATTTTCTAAATTTATATTACATGAAAATTGATCAAAATTTACTAAATTAGATTGATTAAATTGCATAAATGATTCTAACGGAGTATTATCATCGTATGATTCAGTATTTGTTTCATATGATCGATGAACAGTTTGAGAATTTAATGGTGGACTCATATCTGTTGTAATTGGACATAAAAACGATGTTTCTTGATGATTTGTGGTTGTTTCTTGAGTATCACTAGTATTAAAATTTGTTGACTCATCATGAGATGGTTCTTTATCGTCTATTACACTTGAATCTACCATATTGGTAATCGATAAGTGTTAATCAATGATAGTTTATGATGATGGTATATGAAACTAAAAAAAAAAACAAGCGAGTCGAAACCATATAGTGTATACTTATCACAAAGGCAAGGTCATAGCCTTTAGTTATACGCATCATAGGCAAGGTTTTTTGTGTTCAGTAACGATGATTTATATGTTTAGTACATGAGTATTTACATTCTATTAAAATATTGATTTATATCGATAAGCTTATTCGAAAAAGCAAATTTTTTTTTTTAGTTTTTGTCATAAATTGTGCCAAAAGAATTTCTTCTCTCTGTAGGATAATTACAAATATTTAATCATTTTGGCATAAAAAAAAAAACTTAAGACATGTTCAGTCCTTCATGGATGAATAAATTCCCCCTTTTACCCTATATACATAGAGGAAAATTCGACCTTGTTCAACTAGAGAGAGCGAATGATTGCATCGATTGAATGATATGAATTGAAACAAAAGTATATAAAACAATAAAATTCTCAATGAATATTCTCATAGAAACATAAAAAATTGATTTTTGATTATTTCTTCACATATATTAAAAAGAAAAGTATCGAGCAAAATTCTATCTCAAATAAAAACTAATGAAAGAGTTTAAATATATTTTTCTGTGCTTGATTTTTATTCTCTTGATCAAAATCACAAGATATTTTTTTCATTAAAGATTATTTGACACAAGATAAGGGTGTGTATCATAATTTAGGATTCCGATGTAAAAATTATTGATGCAATAGATAGTAATAGCCTTGCTACATATCAACATCATTGACAATGAAGTACATCAATTAGTAATTTGTTAACTTATCGATAAAATGTAGTAGGTTCCAGTGGTTAAAATATAATTGTACTGAATGTAGAAATGACTTTTATTATTGATGCCACTATAGATGATTCTCATGACAGTTGAGTCTAACATGAAGCTACATGGCCAAGCGTTACAAAATTTTATTTCTTTTTTACATTGTAACTTATATTTGTCATCAATAGTAAATGTGCATTCTTTGAAGATTGTATTATAGATAGAGACCATTTTGATCTACTATCACTTTTGAATAACTCGCGAGCGCGAAGCAACATCAAGGTGTAGTTTTCTCTATGATACTTTGATACATATATTCGACCAAGAATCATTACATTAATAAAGTCAATCAGATAGGAAATCTGATGATTTTTGTGGACGCTACCACTACACTATTTTAGAAATTTTAATAAAAACCAAGACATAGTTAAAACTAGGTGACATTGGTCTCAATCAAAACAATAGACAGCTACAGGAGCGTAGAATTGACGTGGCTAGTAGCAAACTACCATAATCTATACTTTACAGGTGTCATCATGTGTATTATAACCTCAACGAATTCTAGTTCGTATCCTATCATAGATCACTACTGATACTAATTGTCAAAAACTTACTAGATTTTGTTGGTCTCGATATAGGATTTTACTTGTACTTCTCTATCTGCTAATAGTAAAGCAGAAGAATGTATTACGATAATCAAATTGTGGTTCACAAACACAAAGCTGTTAACTGTTATTCGACCATATATACATAAGTTTTGACATCGTTCAGAATTTACTAGCATTTATCATCGATTAGCACGGCACTGATTCAAGAACAATAAACAAAAAAGTGAGCGTCACCTCCAATAAATTCCAACAAAAAAACCAAATAGATCATCGGAAAGGAAAATATCATTTGATATACCAAATAACAAGAAACCACAACTTTCAATTGTTGACAATCAAAAACTGTTATTGTAAAAGAGCTTTTTATATGAACTCTAGAAGAAATTCTTTTTTTTATAATTATCATAAGAATATTTTTTAGATAAATGTATTTCATCTTGAACTAACTTAGTTTTCTAAATTTCAAAACAATTTTAATGAAAATATTAATACTGCATGTTGAATACGTTAAACATGAAAACTTATAGAAACTTCTCTCATAGTATTTAAACTGTTAAACAAGAACATCACACAACAATAATTTCTTGTACATGAATTCAAGGACATTCTGCGATGAAGCATACAAAAGATCAACTCAAAGCTACTGTGAGAAATGAACGACTTGTCTTTCTCATTATAGATGTTCATGTTTTTCGGAAAATCGAATAGTATATTCTTTAGTAAACAGCTCTCGTTTTCTATTACACGTTCTTCACGTAAACATGTACTTTTTTGCGTAAAAGGTACAGCAGACAAGCAATGTAACTGCTTTATATTGTTTTCTTTTTCTTTTGTATAGCACATTTATTTATGATGGTCTTATGTACACATTGCCTTTTATATACAATACATACTTACAATTTCTTTTGTTTCTTATTCTATTGCTTTGTCATCTTTGTATTATTAGGTTGATTACTGCACTTTTTATATTTATATGTAAATGTAACGTTTATTTGAACAAAATAAAACGATTTTTACGATAGTTATAAAGAAGAAAGTAGATTCTTTTTGTGTGTTGAATGATGCGTATGACTTTTTCTTGTTTTATTAGGATTTTTTTGTTTTTCTTGCCAAGGCTTACAATTCACCTGAGTAGGTTGCATTGTGCAAGTTTTGTTTTTCTTACTCATACACACACAAAAAAAGGGAATGCACGAATAGAAAAGACAAACTAGAACAACAACAGTTATTAATAGAATACAAGTTTTTCTTTGATGTTTTCAAAATGAACAATGTACCTTTTTAAGTTAAAAGAAAACCAACGAAAATCTATGTATGTGTATGGTTCGTATAAAGAAAAAAAAAGAAGCAGAAATAAATGAATAAACAAACAATAAAGATGAAACTACAAAAAAAAAAAATATCAATCGGCAATATATCTGTCATGGGTGCAGAGACCTGTACACATACATACCTATTTTTTCTTATTGCCAGGAACAAAGAAAACAGAACGAAACATAAGATCACACTCTCACTAAAGGATATATAAAAGAGAGAGAAGATCTATACAAAAGAAACAAACGGAATGAAAATCAAAAGAGATCATCAGTTTAAAAAAAACGTTTTCTTTTTCTTCTTTGGATATGAAATACAATCAAAACAGGAAATGATTAATATCGATAACTATATCCATTTTTGTTGTTATCATGTTGTTTATAATGAAAATCTTCATTTCCATATTGATGTTGACGATAATTATTATTTGATCGTCGATAACCATTACCATTCGATCGATTATTATAATGTTGGTAAGTATCATTATTAAATGTATCTTTATTTTTTGAACGATTAGAATTATATGATATTGGTACATCTGACTGTTCTGTTCTAGCAAGATTATCAAAAAAAGATTTTCTTTTATCATATACAGGTTGATGTTCATCTATTGAATCGTTATCAATATGTAATTGTATAGATTGATTTGTTGTTATATCATTTCGATGTTTAAATTCATCGTCACTTGTTAATTTATGAAATTTACGATTACTTGTTTCAAAATCAAAATCATCATCATAATCATTTGGATTACCTTGAAATGTTTCACGATTTCCACCACTATTATTACCACCTGTATATCGTTGTTGTTTAAAGTTTTGTGTACGATAATTATTAGGAAAATATCTTTGTTTATATTGCATATTATCATTCTGATAACGATTCTGTTGTTGTTGTTGTTGTTGCTGTTTTTGAGGATAAGGATTATCATCTGAAAAAAATGGTTGTCGTATAGGTAATTCATTATCATCAGGTTGCCCATTAAAACGACCATTATTTTCACGTGATGTTTGAGTTGAATGAGTATTTGATGAACGTTGATGAGAACGATTTGATTGAAACCGATTTGTATCATTGTTACTATCTGATATAAAACTGTCAAAAAATTTGCTTTTATTGTCTGAACGTTGTTGAGATGATGGTTTTGGATTATTATGATTTTCTAATTTTGACGAAGAAAGTAAAGACCAAGATGGACCTAAATCACCGGAATTTGAATGTATACGAGATTCTATAAAACGATAAAAAAAGAAATTCAATTCAATTACAATTGTTCGATAAAAGAAATGATTTCGCATCAACTAACTAAAATATTCTAATTAACTGACTAATACACTAGCAGTTAGGGAAAAATTAAATCAAATAGAGTAAGTTTTGTTTTATTTTATTGACAATCAAAGAAAATTCTTTTTTGATTTGCTAATTCAAATTTCTATAGAAAACAATATAGCCACACGTTTACTTAGTTCAGAGAGCCGCCCTTCTTTTCTGGGTTTCTCAAGTGTGGCTTGACTAAAGAGTATGAAACTTTCAGAGTGCCTAGATCTCAACTAGTAAAATAAAAATTGTCATAGACTCAGAATTTCTGGATACTTCCTTCTATGAGATATAGAGAACGCTTGGGCCAAAAATGACCTGCATTCGCCGTTCCCCGCAAACAGTCACAATTCATTTTTTACGACTGAATTTTTGTTTTCGTAATAATTGGGACCAAATTAGGGTGTATGATTTTCTTTTCTTTGAAAAATATTGTTTCCTTCGCTTAGGAGAACCAAAATACTGGAAGTCCTGTCAAAAAATGTGTTTTTTTTCCTAGAGCAAATTTTGTAAGATTTGCCAAATAACATCAAAACATTATTTTGAGAAAAAACAAGAATATATATACACTTTGATTTGATTTTAGTTATCAGAAAAAAAAATTTCAGCTCAACCGATCGAAGTGTCTGAAAGGAAAAGAGAAAACTGCAATTTTTCTGTTCAAAAATCGATTTTGAAAAAAAACGCGAAACTATGTATACAATTGTTCGCTAATTTGATTTCTTCTCGAATTTTTGGATACCAAAATGTACTCAATAGATACATACTACTTCAGACTATACATATTCACAAAAAATTAAAAACGAAAAAAGAAATAAAATTTCCGGTCACGAAAATTCTTCTTCATTAGCGACAAAAGTTGGCTCATTTAATCATGTATGATAGGATAAAATTTTGTAAAAGTTAATCACATAACTTAATAATAACGCATTCTAGGTATTGAAAAATATTATTTCGAATACTTCATCATAATTATTTTATATTTTTTCCTATTTCTGTGTAATTTCATGGAGGTTATACCTTCATGTTTTGGTTGCGTTGTCAATTTTTCATCGGATAACGCCATATTTTTAAAATTATGCGTTAATCGACTAGATACTGTTGAATTCGATGTATTATCCTTATATGATGAACTAATAACAGCTGATAAAATAGCTGGATCATCATGAATTGATGCTTGACGTGACGATGGTAATGTTGATGATGAAACAGGCATCGAACCTGATTGTTGTTGTGAAACTTCCGATGTTTGTTCGTCATCAACAATTTTTAAATCTTCAATATCACTATTAGCAAATTGCATTATTGGTAATATTGTACCAGTCATATGAGTATTTGTTAAATGTCCTGAACGATTTTCTGTTCCAAAACATTTGGCATTGCCAAGAAGTATCGATGATGTCTGTGCATCGATTCCTTAATAAAAATAATAACAAAAAAAAAAACAACAGTAAGTAGATATTTTCAATAAGAAGAAAAATATTATTTAAAACTTACCAATAATTGTTCCCACATATCGACATTGAGACTTAGTAATAATGGCAATTTTACTACCGATAAAATCACGCGACATTTTGATCAAGATCTTAAATCTGAAGATAAAGTAATAGAATAGAATTTTTCACGTTGTTTATTATTATTATTATTTTTTGTCATCTGATCTTTGTTTAGTTCGATTTTACCTCTCCATACCTGACACCTATCGGTAAATGTCATTTTTTTTTCATGATAAAAATTGATTCTTCCTATTCTAATATTTGTTAAAATGAGATTTTTCCAAAAGATAATTACGTATTTAATTAAACGAATTCATGCATGTGATTTGTCCGGTGTGTAAAATATGGACTATATTTACTAAAATGAGAACTCTATGAACTCCATCTAGTTTTTACTCGGTCATTTCTGTAAACTAGCGACACGTTTTCCGAAGCAGATTTATAAGTAATACAACCTATCTTACTATCACTATTGAGCTGTGATATTGTCTGTATGATAGTCATTCGTCAATTGCGTACCTTGAATATTAAAATTAATCAACAAGCAGATTAATCTTTATTTTTTCTTCACTCATATTTCGAAAACTAATTCAATAGAAGTAGTTGAATCATGTCTTTATCGTATCTCATAGTCTTGAGTTAATGCCTACAAAAGTTTGCGTGTTTCTTTCTCGAACTCTTTTGATCACATTGCTCCGTCATACTGATAATGATGAATTTCAGTTTTTCTGAAGCCAAGCGATAGATATTTTAGTTAAGGAAATGAAGAAATTATTGTTATCATGACTTAGATTTGCACATTTTTTTTGTGTCTCAGCAAGGGCGTTATGTTAGAAGTGATATTTATTGACTGATCAGGCGGAAACTATGCGAAAAAAGACAACAGTTGACATTTACTAATACTAAACGTTCATAGGATAAAGAAATATTTCTCTTTAATGTTCAAGCGTAGTCAAGTAAATCACCAACAAAATTGCTTTAGTTTTCGTATATACCTAGATAGCGAAACTATAGAAAAGTATCATAAAAACCCCAAACCCCTTTTAATCAGTCTTCGACTGATGTCAAGTGCAGCGCTATGCATTGTTCCGTACGGAAGCATTCATCATGAACAAGTTATATTAACTCGACTATAAGAAACCACAATATCATTCTTCATCGACTAAACTCGGAAAACCTATGACGAAGCTCCTATTACAAAATTAAACAAACAAATAGAAATGACAACATCTATTTTATCCGATCGAATCAAAAGTTGCGACTTGGTCAACTGATCAAAAACCAAATAGCAATTTTTTTCGGATTATGGCTCTGATTGCTGCAAAGCGTTGTGAAGTTTTTTTTGTTAAAACATCGGAAAGTTTGTCAACGTGTGCCGAAAAAAATTTCAACTTTTTTTAAAAATGTCGTATGAGTTAGAGATTGTCTGTTGTCTTTCTTGGTTTGCTTTTCATCGATTCAATTTTGGATTGTGGCTTCCTCGACATCTAATCTGAAGTGACAGTTGCTCAGGGAGATATTTTCTCTCAGAAGGGATTGTTTAGAACTTCTAGCAATCAAAAAATGTTTTTGAAGTATGTCGAAGTTAGATGTACATGTTTCCCACATCTTCTAACTTCTTCATTTATGGACAATCGTGGTTAATAATCAAGGGCTCATCTTTAACGGAAGAGTCGAAGTTGTCGACGGAATAATATTGCCGAAAGTCATTTCTATAAGATTAGCTGATAGCAGGACGAACTGGACAGTTTTTTAAAATAAATGAAAATAATTTGTTGAAGGTAGAACTTCCAATACACTTTTAATTAGAGAAATCGAAAGGTGTCCATAGTTGATCGTCGTCCATATATTTCAGGTAGAATTTTCCTTTGGTTAAATTTGTAGCCGGTACCTTTTTAATCTTTTTTTTTTTTGGTTAGAATCGGAAGTATCAACTTGAAGGTGTATCTGTTCCTTAGAATATCAGTTTTGCCGACATGCTAGTGGCAGTGTCATGTATGTTGCGAGTTATTTGTTAATATCTAACAGGTATTTCGAATGACATGGCGCTATGTCTCATTGATTATTGAAGTCGATTGAAAGTTGTTTCATATTCAAATGAAACATTGTTCGACCGGCAATATTTATCGGCTTCAAAAGCCATGAAATAAATTGAAATTCTACAACAATAAATCATGTTCAAGACAGTTATTTCACAGCTCGCGAGGTAGTTTCGTAGCTTAACCAGCGAGATTCAACATCTTCCTATGGCGGAAGCAGTGCAATATCCGTAAAGACCTACTATATTCGTATGAGTCCTGTCGTCTTCATTAAACATCATGCCTACGTTTGTTGTCCTACCAGTTCGGTACGAAGTGCTCTGTGTGTACCCTTTCAAGCTCATGACATCTTTCTAATCAAACGAATAATAAAGAACAGGCAAAGCGTGGAGGGTGAGTAGTAAATAGAAGTAATTTATTGAGTAAACCAATCAAAAAGAACTCACATCTTCTTTCGAATTTTTTCAAATGATTCTCTATAGTCCAAAAGATGAGGATGATTTGAAGGTAATTTGTCTTGAGCAATATCTAACGCTTGTTGAACATTTTTCATTGCTATACTATATTCTCCAGTAGCCAAATATAATTTCGCCAAATTGTAATAAATTACAGCTAAATCAGGATGATTTTTTGGTAGTTTATTTTCACGTATTTGTAATCCTTTTTGAAAATATGTCAATGCCGTCAAATAATCTCCCATTTCTCGATAAGTCTCACCTAAATTCGCAAATGTTGTTGCACATTCCAGTGGATTACATTGAGCATTCTCTTGAATACTTAATGCTTTTCGATGAAATGAAAGTGCTGTTTCATAATCCCCAATCAAGCGATGAATATCACCTAAACTACTGTATGTGATAGCTTGACAGCTATGTAGTTTTGGTAAAGTTTGCTCATATATTCTCAGGCACTTTTCGAAATAGTAAAGTGCCATACGGTTATCCTTCATATTTCGATGAACTCTTCCGAACAGACTAAATGTTGAGCTGAAGGCTATACTACCTTCTTCAAATGCTTTTTGCTGAATTTGAAATGCAATTTCAAGATATTTTATGGCTGCTGTATAATCACCGATGTCATTATATACCGAACCAATATTTCGGTAGGAATAAGCCAAATCAGGATGATTTGGAGGCAGAGTTTTTTATCTTATTTTGAATGATTTGTCATAAAATTCCAGGGCTTTTGGGTACTCACCCATATTGCTATACACATCACCAATCTTGTTGTCAGAAGTAGCCAACAAAAGATGATTCGGAGGTAAAACTTTTTCTCTTATATCAAGTCCTTTTTCGTAAAATTCATGCGCCTTCCAGTATTCACCCATGTTATTATACACTTGACCGAGATGGTTGTAGGAAGTAGCCAACTCGGGATGATTCGGAGACAGAGCGTTTTTCATTATTTCAAGATCTTTTTCATAAAACTCAAGTGCTTTCGAGTAGTCACCCATGTTATTATACACTTCACCGATATTATTGTAAGAAGTAGCCAAATTGGGATGATTTGGTGGCAGTACGTTTTTCGTAATTTCGAGATCTTTTTCGTAAAATTCAAGTGCTGTCAAGTAATGATCCATTTTGCAATACACCGAACCCATGTTGTTGCATGAATTTGCCAATGAAAGATGATTTGAAGGCAATTGGGATGATTCAGAGGTAAAAGTTTCTCCGTAACTTTATGCGCTTTTACGTAAAAGTCAAGCGCTGTTGAATACATATTCATGTTATTGGAGCACTTTTTCTTTTATTTTGAGTGATTTGTCGAAAAACTCAAGTGCTTTCGAGTAGTCACCCATATTGTCATACATTGCACCAATGTTGTTATAGCAAGTAGCAAAGTTAGGATGATTCAGAGAGAGAGTATTTTCGTAGATTTTATGTGCTTTTTCATAAAACTCGAGTGCTTTTAAGTAGTCATCCATCTTGTGATACACTCCACCGACGTTGTTATAGCAAGTAGCAAAGTTAGAATGATTGAGAGAGAGAGTTTTTTCGTTGATTTCATGCCCTATTTCGAAAAATTCAAGTGCTTTTGGATAGTCAAGCATGTTAACATACACATGGCCAACGTTGTTGTAGGAAATAGCGAAGTGTGGATGATTTGGAGGTAGCACTTTTTCCAAGATTTCGAGACCTTTTTCGTAAAATTCAAGTGCTTTCGAGTAGTTGCCGATGTTATTATACACTTCACCGATGTTGATGTAGGAAATAGCTAAATTAGGGTGATTGGCCTGAAGAGATTTTTCCAGAGTTTTATGTGATTTATCGTAAAATTCAAGTGCTTTCGAGTAGTCACCCATCTGATTATACAGCTCACTAATATTGTTGTAGGACTGAGAGAATTCGGGATGATACGAAGGAAGAACTTTTTCTCTTATTTTGAGCGCTTCTTCATAAAATCCCAGAGCTTTCGAGAAGTTGCCCATGTCGGTATACGCCGAGGCGATGTTGTTGTAGCAAATAGCCAATGAGGGATGATTGGGTGGCAAAGCATTTTTCGTTATTTCAAGACTTTTTTCGTAAAACTCAATTGCTTTCGAGTAGTCACCCATGTTATTATAGACTTGACCAATGTTGTTGTAACAAGCAGCAAAACTGAGATGATTCGAAGGCAGAACTTTTTCTTTCATTTTGAGTGCCTGCTCGGAAAATTCAAGTGCAGTGGGATAATCACCCATCTTTCTATACACTTCTCCAAGACTATTACAGATAGAAGCTAAATTGGAATAATGTTTTGGGTCAGTTTCTCGAGAGATTTCGAGAGATTTTTCGAAATATAGAGCTGCTTCATCATATAATCCCTGCTCGTCTTTCACGTCTCCAAGCTGACAATAGATATATGCTCTATCACTGTCTGTGGTGGATGTTTTGAATAATTCATTGTAGAGTTCTTCAGCTTGATTGAAGTGATCTACTTGAAGCATTAATTTAGCTATTCGATACCACCCAGTACAACCTTCAATTTCCTCACGCCTGCGGTGAGTGAGAGCAGCCAATTGTGGATCTTTGTCGGCTGTGAGAGTCAATTCTACTTCCCAAAGTTGACTATTATTCGTCATTTGTTTGATTTCACCGACACGAAAAACAGTGTGCATAGAAAAGAGAATTTCTTGTTCTTCGTTGAAGTAACTGGCTTGCTCAATAGAAGCGAAGGGCGTTGATTGAACAGTAGGATCAATGGACATTTCGAAGAGGATGCCCATCATATCGTTTGCTGTTGAAGCACTTTCAGCGAAGCCAAGAGAAGTCTTTCGATTTTTACTGGTGGACAAATAATTGTTAAAAGACATCAAGCCACCTTTCGTTTTCTGGAGTTTTTCAAAGTCAATGGTGGATAATCCCTGTCCTCGGTAAACGGTAAGAGCTTCTATCTGAGAACCTCTGAACTGTTGTTGGTGTAATTTTTCTATTTGACAATGAAGAGCACGAATAAAGAAACCCATTTTCATAATTGTGTCGGATTCCAGTGTTCGAAGAGACCTGTTGAGCATCTGGTAGAGGAAACAGTCCCGAGTATACCACCAAATTTATGTTTGTGGACAATAATCACGTTCAAATTCATCGATACGGTTCAATGTCACAGCATTGTTGATGTTATCGTTGCGCCAGAATTGCATAAAATCTTTAATGGCTTGTTCGCTATAGTCGATTACAAGAAGAGTTTCTTTGAGTAGTTGAGTATACATAAATGATGGCTCCAATTGATCAAGATTTTGACTGAAACCTTCTTGATTTATATTGACAAAGCTCACCGAAATGTCATCTTGGTTGCATTGTTTGATGGCCACTTTCAGAGCTTTACACATGGGTGCAATTTCCGTATATGTGCCCCTAATTTTGTTCCAATTGTTGCTGCAATCTTCATCTTGAGCTTTGTTTCCAGAAAAGATGTAAATGCTATTAGCATGAGAAATATCATGGATGATCGGTACTATTTGTTCTCCCATCGCGCCTGTTACAATGAGGAACACCTTTCTATCATTGAATTCTGCGAGAAAGTCGATACATTCATCGCTTTGCGTGAAGGTATGAACATCATTGACTTTGCTTTGCAGTTGTGCCAAAATGCTTTGATAATCTTTTTTACTTTGGTCAATATTGGCATCCAACCATATCAGGAGGACGTCCTGGAAAATTCGGCGTCTTGGACGAATGTCAGCCGCCCGTGTTGATGTTGTTGTTAATGGAATCCTTGATGATGTAGACATAGGCTCGATTGGTTTTTGTGCATTTGTGTCGCTTTGAATGATAAGTTGATTGTCAATCAAATATTATGAATACCTGTTTGTCGCTTTGACAGATACTATCTTTTCTATTTATATATCTGTTGATTCTCTTTTCTCTCTATTTTTCTACTACGTACAGTTTTTGGTTTGGTTTTAATAGTCGTGAACGAACCCCACCTGTTTTTTGTTGAAAATGCTATGGTGAAGAACACGAGAGGAAGAGATAGAACAAAAAATTTTATTTTTTGGAGCATGCGACCAAACGAACAGAAAAAAGTAATAGCATTATTTTTCGTATGGCTATTCTTTCCTACTTTTTCTTGCCTTCCTCTACGTGCAATAACTTTAATAACAATGTGCGGGATATATTTTCTTTTTCAACGACTTTTGTAAGAAGAACATCATTCAGTATTTATTTTTTATTGATTCTTTTCATGACTTTCTTCTTTCTCTGCGTTGCATTAATCTACTGTCTAAGCATGCAAGTTTGACATGAAGAAAACAAAAAAAAGCATCGTTAATTCGGTTTTTTTTCATTATACGACGAAATGTTTAATATCGATTACTCTTCAGTTTCCTTCTTTTTCTTTTCTCTGAATGACTCCTCGCTTATAGTATTGGTATTGACGATATGTTTTTCTCTTTCTCTTCTCTCGTGTGAGCATTATATAATGTTGTGTTTGTAGTGATATAGACAAGATTGGGAAACGATACTCAAGAACCGGAAATTGAACATTCAAGGATATTCGAGGTGATTCACGGCAACTCAATGAAGACAAAGAATTCAACAAAACCAGAATGTGAGGTTATAAACGACGTTTCTGTGATCATATTACACCTGGTGTCAATAACGGCTAGCAAGGTTTGATAATAAATCGTGCTGTCTAATTGAAGGCGATTCATAAGTCGCCCAGATTCTCATTTGGTGGAAAGACCAAATATCTTTTAAATATTTCTCAATTGTTGAATTCTGCTCTATCGTCTTGAATTCTTTGGATTTTTATTTGAATTGTTGAGTTCAGAATCGTGAATATGTCGCTATATTCTGTCACTTTTCTTGATAATTATGATGCAAAAACAGTGTTATTTATCGCTGACAACTCATCGGACAAATGGCAATAAAAGCAACAATGAAAGTACGACAAATATATGAGAACGATAAAGAAAAACCTATGAGATGAACAAATAATAAAATAAAGAAATACTAGATTCATTTTTATTCAATAGAACAAGTATTAATATTTCTATTAATTCATGCTTCATTTGTATGAATTCAGTAATAAATAGAAGTGATCGGTACACTTCTAAAATTAGTTTATTTAGTTTCATTCTCACACATATATATATATAAATGTTTCTAATCTTCGAAGAGGATGAATGAAATACGGAGTGTGAATTTGCCATTACTTTCTCTCTAGCTAAAATGATTGTTTCTTATATTTGTTTTATTTCCTACATCGATGGATTACGTACGTAGTTCTACTTATCTCAAAAGTGCAAATATCAAGAGCCAGACAGATTAAAAAAGAAGTACATTGACAATGAAGAAAAGAACATTCCACTAATATACTTCTATTATTGTTGGCATCTTTTTCTTTTCGTTTATACATATGTAATGAGTGATATCAATGTACAGGTAGAATCTGTAAACAAATGAGTATTGAAAAAAAACAAGGTTACATTTTTTTTCTTTCTTTCTCTCTTTT